GGGACAGAGTGGTTGTGGTAGGGACAGGGTTGCCATAGCGTTTGAGGAACATCAGGGTTTTGGTAGGGACAGGGTGGCTGTAGTGGCAGGGGGATATGGGGGCTGTGGTGACGATGGTGGAGACATAGCCTGGCATGGTGGCAGTAGGGGACAAGGCTGTGATGGCGACAGGGCCTAGCTGTAGTAGCAGGGGTCATGGTCACCACAGTGGCAGGGGACATGATGGTGGGGACCACCAGGGCCTGGCCATGGTGGCAGGGGGACAGCTCGGGGGGCTGCAGGCCCCACAGGGACACGGTGTCCCCAGCGTCTGCGGCGTCCCCAGCGGCGCAGGGAGGGACGATGACACTCTTGCACAAGTCCTGTCTCCATGGGAAGCATAACCAAAACAACAAACAAAACCTTGTCCCGAAGCCACATCCGCCTCCAGAACGGGTGGCAGGGTCACCACCACAGCATCCCCGTGACCCCACCCCTCAGCACCCAAAATCTGGCCCGGGCTCAGCACCCACTCTCCTGAGCCAGCCCAAGATGCCACTGTCCTCAGTTGCGAGGACACTGTCATGGTGGCAATCGGCCTTGGAGTGCCCCCCCCTCCCCCCCAGTGGCCAGTGTCCTCCTACACCCATGGTGGGGACCGAAAACCCCTTGGATTGTGGGCGTCCCCCGGGGATTTCCAGTGGGGTTTCCTGTGGCTTCGGTGCATGGCTGGGGCACACGCAGATGAGAGGACCAGGGTAGAGGGTGGCACATGACCAAGGGTAGCGGGGTGATCCGTGGGACAGGGGTGACAAGGTCAGGGGGTGACATGGGGATGCAGGAATAGGGGCAGGGTTAAGAGTGACAGGATGAGGGTGGCACAGTAGCAGGACCTGGGGGAACAGCTTTAAGGGTGACACAGGGAGGCAGGACCCATGCAGGGGGAGGCCCAGGGTGACACAGAGAGCAGGAGGGGGGTGATACGGGGGGGAACAGGTCCCATGGGGGTGACATAGAGATCACGAAAACGGTGACACAGGGGCAGGATTCTGGAAGGACTCGGCCAGGGGAGGCAGCGGGTAACAGAGGGTGATTTGGGGACAGGACCCCTGGGGGCAGCAGAGGGGCAATAAAGGGGCAGGAGCTCCAGGGCACAGGGCCGGGGTGGCACGGGGCAGGACCCCCAGGGGTGGAACAGGGCAGGACCCAGGGGAGTGGCATGGGGACAGGACAGCGGGGGACAGGGCTGGGGACGATATGGAGGTGAGGGAATGGTATAGGGCAGGATGCTCGGGGGATGCAGCCAGGGACGATGCTGGGGTGACACAGGCAGGACCCCTAAGGGACACGGGGGAGGACCTGGGGGACAGGGGCAGGGCTGATGCAGGGGACACGGGGGGACCCCGGGGACACGGGGCAGGACCAGGGGGCATGATGTGACAGGGGACAGATCCGGGGGGACAGAGCTGGGGGTGACCCTGAAGGGACACAGGGGACAGGCAGGGTGACACGGGGTAACGCGAGTGGACGTGGGGGGGGGC